TATCTCATAGGTTTCCGTTACGCGACGACACCACATCGTTTACATTTGGTGTCGATGCGAGAAAGACAGTAGAAGAGTGGGTTCCAAGACTTTATGCATACGGATCAGATCAGGATAATTGTTCCTTTAATTTAAAGGCGAAGAGATTTTAAAAAAGTAGTTATAAGTCTGTGAATATAGACTTTCGGGTAATAAGAAATTCATATTAATAATGTTCGACAGTCGAATACTCGAATACTTCGAATATGCGAAAAATTTGTGCTATTTAGTAATTGAATAACCAGATATTCGAAAAGGTGCATTTATTCAATTGTTCGAATGGTCGAATACTTGGAACACCGATATTTAATTATTCGAGTTTGAATAGATTTCAAACTGAGATCTAAATATTTGTTAGTTCGAATAGCTAAAATTATCGAGTATGCTTGGGACCAATTATTTGTGTTCTAGTAAATCTTTTACGTAGCTCGATTATGTGGGCATTCGAATGGTCGAATATTTGAAAACGCGCATGTTCGGGTACTCGAATATTTGGTCGTGCCCGTTTATTCGATGCCTCTAATAGTCGGGTGTTTGGGCCCGAACTATCGAATATTTGATCCTATACTCTAATATGGCGATTAAAGTAATATTTATCCCTTAAAATACTTTCGTCACGTATTCGAACAAATGAATATTGACATAATTCATTCATTTTTAAAAAAATTCAAGTGGTTTGACCATAATTGTGAAATTATTAGAGGTAGCTTAATTTTGGTAATGTTAAGAAACTTTTCTAGCAGAATTATGTAGTTTTCTTTTGAAATGCCAATCTTATGTTCTGACTTTTACAGTAATCGTTCAATAAAATGAAGTGATAATCGGTGGCTTTTGCTTTGAGTTTCATTTAGTATTCATTTTAGATTCAGCAATAATTCTCAATTTTTTAGGAACTTATTAGCCCAAAAAAATTTGCTATTTTTTTTCATTCTTTTTTTTTGAGATCCCTAGACATGCGATTATATATTCAAGTCTTATTCATAAAATGTATTTTCAGTGAACTCTTCAATCGCTCTAAGCTGATGCCTTTCACTGAGTATGTGATTCTTCCTAGATTTTTTCTCAAAAAAAAGTAGACGGAACTAACGAACTAACTCTTCTTTTTACAGGGAAGTGAGAGGGACGGAGGAAGGATATGCCATATATGATGCAATGACCTTTCATCGGCCATTTTGGAAGGATGCTCCAACTCATATGCACATGGACAAGTCCATGGACATTGAGCGGATAGCATCGTTCTACTTGTCCAATCCAGCATTTAGGAGAACAGAGTATAATAAGGAAAGGTAAAGAGAGATTGGTTGAGAGAAACAGTTCTTTTTTATGAAATTCTAGAAATTTCTTAAGTCCTAGGTGCGAGAATGAGGATTACCAAGATTTTAGAGGCACAAGAATCATTCAAATCTATGTTGAGCGAGGATTTCCCCTTGAGGTTTGAAACGAGTCTTCGTGAAACCCAAACAGTTCTTTGATTATCTAGATTCCCTGTTATTCTTGTCTAAAAAACCAAACGGGGCTTACTACGGTGTTTTATATGCTACCCTCTAGGTGAGTTTTATCTGAAAGTTCTAAAATGGTCGAAATATTTGCTATCTTTTGATTATAGGAATTTCTTAGCTGACATCGATTTGCACGAGAGAAGAGAAAGAATGTCATCTGGGAAAACACTCAATGTTG